GTTCTGCATTCGATCCCACTCTTGCCCCTTGCTAGCTGGGAGACGGGGTTCCTCCCCTAACTTCACTCCCCACCCCCTCCAACAGGGCTCAGAATCCGTGTCTTAGAGGGGTGCTTGGGGCTCTATACTTCTCCAAAAGGACTGGCACGGGGTAAACAGTGGATAAACCTGCAGGTGACTGGCAGGATGTGGTCAATATACGACAATGGCTATTACCTGTCTTCCGGATTACAGCTTTGAAACAAGGCTTCTGACCTGGAGTCTATGGAGCCCCCGCAAATCCACAAACGGGCTTCCACGGATCCTGTAAGCCCGTGAGCTCAGTGGTATGGGGGCACATCTGTTTTCTCTGAGGACAGTCTCCATAGCTTTCATCAGAACCTCACCAGGCTCGAGGCACCTGGGTGGCTCAGTCGGTTAAACATCTGCCTTCAGCTCAGGTCATGATCTCAGGGTCCTGGGATCGATGAGTCCCACATTGGGCTCCTTGCTCAGTGGGGAGTCTGCTTCTCCCTCTCCCTTTGCTGCTCCCCCTGCTTGTGCTCTCTTGCTCTCTGTCAAATAAATAAAATCTTGAAAAAAAAAAAAGAAAACTCTCAACAGGCTCTCAGACTGAAAACTGGTAAAAACCATTGAGCTGCTGTGGCTTCCAAAATGTTTGGCTCATTGTACCGATCTAGGGACTCAGTTTCTGAGTGATCCTCAGAACTAAGACTTCCCTCTGGCTATTCAGGATGCCTGCATTCTGTACACAGCCGTACAACCTCCATAGGAGCCCTTTATTATCTGGCAACAGCAGAACCATAGGAATATGACAAAATTTCTAAGGGAGACATTCGTCTTCGTTTCAACTATGGTACCGGAGTCCTTGCTGCTTTAGATACATCTTTCTCCATAATCTTTTTGACATATTCAAAGCCAAGGGAGGTAGGTGGCACGTTTTATTCTTAGGAGGTGGTCACTTCACATTAGAGCAATAACAACAAAAATCGTAATGGGTGAATTGGAAGAGCCCAATCAAAGCTTGATTCTACTCAACAACCTAGAGGGCTGAACAATCTCCGGGAAGAAGGACCTGAGTGGCAAGCAAGCCCCTCCAACTCTGTAAATCTTAGTTTCCTCATAGGCAGAAAAAGGATGGATAATGGTAATATCTCCTTCCTAGGGCCGCTGTGAGAATTAATAAGAAAATAATTGTGAGTCATCTGTTAAGCACCCAACGCAGAGTAAAGTGCCTCATAAATATTAACTATTAAATAACCTCTTTTATGGCAGGGGGAAAAAAAAAAGGTATTCCTCATCTGGTCTCTGAGCCACACAGTCTAGCTTCGAGACTGACTTTGGGCGGCTGATGGCTGATATTTTTCAGCTCCTTCCTTGAAGTAGCTGTTAGCGACCAAGCAGGCAAGGAGCATACCAAGGAGCTGGGAAAACAGCTGAAAAGTGTCTGAGCAGCAATTTCAAAGAGTACCTGCTTTCAGAGCCAACACTGTGAGATGCAAATTTAAGAAATCGAGTTAAAGGAAATAGAGTAAACCTTGAAAGTCACCAAGATGAATGACTCAGCACAGAGTTTTCATTCATTCTTCTACAGTAGAGCTTCTTGTGAGGAGCCCCGCACTAGGCACAGGGACGCACAAAGACAAAGCCCCAGGCAGCTGTCACTGTCAGTACCCCGGGGAGAGAGTCACATCCCCAGCATGTGAAACAAGGTTTCAAAGTAAACTATGATGCAGGGCAGGACCTGGCGTTCAGCAAAGGCTTCTTGCAAGAGCAACACTTGGGTTGAGTGTGGAAGGAGGAGTGGATGTTCAAGGGCTAGTAAGGCACGGCCCTCATCACGGGGAACCCCGGGAACCACGGAATTCAAGATCAGGAGCTTGGCCTTCCCCCCGCCCCCCAGGGTTATGAGGTTTTGAATGGCTCTTAGGCAGTTACCTGATTCGATTTAATCTATTTGTTCTTTAGAGACAAATGGTGGGGAGGACAGAGTTGAAGCGGAGAGACTGGATGTGGCATTTTCAGAGGGGACTTGTGCAGGGTGAAACAGGGAGTCTCTAACTCTAAACTAATGTGGGGAAAGAGTAAGATGGAGACAGAGCAGGCAGTCCTGGTGACTGACCAGGTGGAGGTCACATCGGGATCATTCCCAGGTTCACGGCTTGGGGGCAGAGTGGATGATGCATCCACGAGGAAAAACAGATGCAAGAGCAGACACCGGCCCCTTTGCTTGCACGGTATCCACTTTCTCTTCTTTTCCATATTTTCTTTTTAAGAAACAACCCCTTCCTGCTTTCAGGCCATTGGGTTTAGGAGAGTTTTGCTGACCACCCTCCCACGCAGCTCCTGCATTCACACATCTCCCGCCTCCGCACACGGACTGCTACTCCTGTTCCCCAAGGCTCCAGGCCTGGGCACGTCGTCAAAGACAAGCCAACACGTGTTCCAAACCCCTGGCCCCAGCACCTGGTTCAGGCATGGGCATGTGCCCACTAATTCGAGTTAATCCCAAATTATTCTCTTTTCCTGCAGGGGTTAAGCTTGAAGCTGCTGATGACCATCCTACCACCAGGAAGAAGAGGGGGAAATCAGAACTGGATTCTTCCTGAACTTCTCCCATACAGGAGCCAACACATGCCCCTTCCCGCCTGACCAAGTGTATGCTAGGTTTCTGTGACTTGTGGCCAAGAGCTGCTGATAAAGATAAGAAGTAAAGAAAACTGTGTCTCCACAAAGAGTCTACGTCTGTGAGTGGTGGATTATAAAAACCTCCATTACTGAGACAATAGTACCTTGAAACATTTGAATCTAAAAAATACATTTTAGGGGGCGCCTGGGTGGCTCAGTTGGTTAAGCGACTGCCTTCGGCTCAGGTCATGATCCTGGAGTCCCTGGATCGAGTCCCGCATCGGGCTCCCTGCTCGGCAGGGAGTCTGCTTCTCCCTCTGACCCTCCCCCCTCTCATGTGCTCTCTCTCATTCTCTCTCTCACAAATAAATAAAGAAAATCTTTTAAAAAAATACATTTTAGGGATTTTATAGCAAATTCTACTGTGACTAATAAAAAGTCAAACGAGACTGCTTTAGAAAATGTTACTGTACCAGATCATGGCACATTCACTCATTAAGTTAACATTTATTGAGTATCTTCAGGGTTCTTAGGCTTGTACAAAAGAAACTATAAAAGCGTGTGCTTGGATTTGAGTGGGGCCATCCAAGGCCCTTCCATAACGAGCAGCTGTGCGTGCTCTTCAGCCTAATTGTGCGATGCTAGAATGGCCAGGTGGTTCCGTCTGGCCCACAGCTGCACCTGATGGTGAGGACACCACCTGAATTTCAGACTGGCCATCAATAACCCAAGGCTGGTGAAGCAGCACCTCAACTGAGCCCTCAGGCGAAAAAGCGTTGAACGTGTTTTGAATTCCTCTCCCCTCTAATAGGACAACCACCGACATTTATGGAGGAGCCTGGAGGATGCATGATGTTGGGCCTTCTTTCTTTACTCTCCTTCCATGAAAAGACCCCTACACTAACATGGGCTTAACTCTTATTAATGCACCCACAGAGCTCTATGTAAGTATGCCTGAACTGTCAGCTCCTATCCTGTGGGCTTCTCAGGGGCTAGGTCCAAACAAATCTGCGAGGGTTCATTTCTGGTGGGCAGGTGTTGATTTTGCCACCCTGTGTCCACTCCCGCTTCTGAGAGCAGTACGCCCCTGTCCTCTGAGGAAGCACCTACTGACTCCCCATTGTGCACCATCTTAGTGGGGTGGTCAACCCATGGGCCCAGCTAAGCAGTGTGCATGCCATTCAAACTAGGCCAAAGGTTTTCTCTCTTTTTTAAGATTTTATTTATTTATTTATTTATTTATTTATTTATTTGAGAGAAACAAAGAGCAAGAGAAAGGGCAGGGAGAGGGGAACAAGAAGACTCCATGCTAGCACGGAGCCCGACCTGGGACCCCGGGCTCCATCTCACGACTCTGAGATCATGGTCTGAGCCGAAACCCAGAGTCAGATGCCCAACCGAGAACCACCCAGGTACCCCCAAAGGTTTTCTCTTTGCGGGTATGCTAAGTCCAAGGGCAGACCTCCAGCTTGCAGAAAAAGAACGTGAGTTCTTACTCCCCCAGCCCCCCAGTAGTTCCGTTTCCATCCTGAAAGTGGTTCTTCTGACTTCCTTTGACCCTTAGGATATCCTCCAGGTTGCCTTCTGGTTTCTGTTGCTTTACTCTAGAGACACTCAAGTCTACACAATTCACTGCAACTTAAGCACTAAGCAATAGCTAACGTTCATAGCATACTCAGCAGTTTATAAAGTACGTTCACATTCAATTTATCTCTTTCAATCAACCTTTCTGGAACTGAATTTTTCTCCTCCCCCCATATAAATCACTTATTGATTTCTCTATTTTTCACGACAGCACAATCGTTCATTCAGCCACTTAAGCTTTTTTAAAATTTCAGAATGATTTTGCTGGAGGCTTTCAATAGTGTCCTATCATCATCAGTCACCTAATCCTAAAATATGGGACCCCCCAGAGTGATCCCTTCCTTTTCCTTGTCTCTGCCTCCACCTTTGCCAGAGCCTTCCTCACCTCCCAACAATGGTTTGCTGACTCTGCCATCAGCCTACTGTCACCAAACCATCCTGATTCCACTGGCAGAAAGCTGTGACTCAACTTTTACTATCACTGCATTATTCCTCACCTACCCAAGGTTTATAGAACAAAGACTACAGGACAATGATGGCATTCCCTAACCTAAATCCTGGGCTGCCCACTGATCTCTCCTGACTCAGAGTAGACTCTTCCTTAGTAGAAAACATACACCAGAACAAGTATTCAAACATGTAGTAAATTGAAACAAACAAACAAAAAGACTACAATTTTGGGGGGGCTTCCTCTCCTTATAAGTGGAGTCTTTCTACACCCCTTGAATGCAGGGTGACCGTGTGATTTGCTCTGAACAATGGGAGAGTAACAAATAGGATATACTTGCTTTTTTGCTGCTCTTGGTACAGTGCTTGTCATGTAAAGAAGCCCAGTCTCATCTGCTCAAGAATGGGAGGTACATGTCCTGGTCACCTGTTAACCTGGCTAACAGCACGGTAACTGCCAGATGTAACTGAAGCCATCCCAGATCATCCTGCCACCAGCTCACCAGCCAGCGGACTGAAGATGCCCGAGGGAACTCCTGTCAAGAAAAGCAGAAGAACCACCCAGCTGAACTAAGCCCAAATCACTGACCATAGAATCATGAGCTTTCGTAGTTGCTTTAAGCAACTGCATTTTGGGGTGACTGGTTATGCAGCGACACTGTAACGGATAAAACATCTGAGCCGGTTTGGTCATTTTCTCCTCAGAACTCCTTTCCAATTACTATTCAGCATCTTGGGTGCTGGATCATAAAGTATCTTTCATGTGTCCTATTGCCAAGAGCCTTGTGAAGAGATTGTGTATTTTATATTTTTATATGCCACAAATGCACAAAGTGAATACACTATAACTATTTAGGGATCAATTAGTGTTTGTCCAGGGCCTAGCCATCAGTCTTACCAATTCATAGTCATCATTTCAACACATAACTTGATCATTAACTTTTAAAGCTTAAAAGAGAGCAAAGATGCAAACCATAAAAAAATGAAATCTAGTTATTTCATCCATGTGCAGTGCAAAATCATTCAAAGTATATATCATAAAAATTACCGATTTATTGATTCATTTTCAGTAAATTACTCCTTGTAACGAGATATGCCTATCAATCAAAGGTGCACAAGGAAACAAATATATGAGGGTAAAAGTTTCACAGAAGCAATTGTTTGATTTTCACCAGGATATTATTGTTCTCCCAAGACACATATTTCTCCTATGTGGTTTGCAACTGTAACCTGACTGACTGCCAAAAACAAGGCTTCTATTCTAAGAGTGTCACTGATTCTCTTGTTGCTTTTCAATTAGATTTTGCATTTAAAAGAGAATTCCCCTTGTGTTTCTTATAATGGTGCACCTGCTCCTTGGGAGATTTCCTCTTCTGACAAGCAATGCCTTAAATCTGGCAAGAAAAACAGCTCCAGGCTTTCTCTGATAATATCAAAGATCATTTGTTTGTATTAGATGTTTGTGTGGGTTTCCCTCCTCTTAAGAACAGTAAAGTACTACTACCATTCCTTCCAAAATAAGAGCGCACACAAAGTTTCTTGGCCTCTGTTCCACATTTCCACCGACACCTGAACCAACTATCTGGAATGAGCAAAGCTGCGACATAGTTTATAGAGAGATTCATCTGGCTAGTCATGTCCTTTTGGACATCAACACATGGTAAATGTCAAATCAATAAATGCAGCATCATTTCACATCTACTATCTCGTAACCTTTCCTTGTGAAACGCTTCCAATGGAGAAAATGAAGTTTACATTCAAAGTTATATCCCTTATTTTGTTCTATTTGATTTCCGAGATGTCCAAAAGATCCTTAAGAGAAGCACCATCTTCTTTCTGATTCTAGACTTGGGAACTCCTACATATTTGGTTATGAGTAATCGTTAGTGAAAACTGCCTTCCGGAGAGACTTCCGTGATTGACAGCAAAATGTCACACCTTCTTCAAATAGTTTTAAGAACCCCTTAAAGCTATCTCCCTTCCACTCGAACCACACTGAGCCTAAATTAACATTGAGCTGCATCGGGAATAGCCAATAGATGTTTTCTCCCAGATGTCAACACATTAGCATACTGCTTCCCTAGACCTTGCTCTCTCTGCCTTTTAAAATTTCAATATGTACAAATGAAGTACAGATTTCAGCCCATTCCCAATTGGGATGTCTGCTCCGTAATAAGAGAAATAGGTTTTTTGCCTTCCTGCAGATTCAGCGAAGAAAGTGGTGCTTGAAAATTACGTGTTTAGAGTGACACCTTGGAGAACTGACATACTCTGCACACATGTAATCCTCATAAACCTCCCCAGACAGCCCTTATTTCATTTTGCAAACTGCACCCTGGCCGGGCTCCACAGCACGTGGTGTGTGGCGAGACGGTCCTGCCCCGGCTCGCCTTCCTCTGGGCTCTTCCCTGCCTCCAGGCTCTTTGATGGGCACTTGTCAGTAATAGTCAAGAGGAGCCAGGAGGCCCAGGCACCAGCCAGGGTCAAACGGACACCGACAGTACTGCTTCCTCGATGAACTTTCCCAAGGAAAGCAACATTCCCACAGGAAAAAACAACACACGTCCCCCCCCCCCCGCCCCCCGCCCCCCCACCACCCCCATCCTCTCCTAGTGGTCCATTGAAAATGAGCAACAATGCTGTTGCCTTTTTGTTTCCTAAAGACTTTCTTCGCTGCAAGCAGTAGCGTGTTCCTCAAAGAATGCTAGTATTTCCTGTGGAAACTGTATGGCTGCCAGGAATGGCTCATAATTTTCCCTTCTTTTCTTTTCGTAAAAATGGAATAAACAAAACGTGGCATTTAACAATAGCCAAGATAACCAGTTCACCTCACTTACCACCTGCAGATGAAAGTCACCACCACGAGGGAAGGCCAGCAGAGGCACATTCCCGGCTCAGATCGACGCGGACCAGCCTGGGAAGCAGGACAGCGCCCGGGGCAGCTCTGAGCCCCGCGGCTGGACGGGGCAGCCAGGGAGCCCCGGGACGCGCGTGGGGCTCCCCGGGGCGGCAGCAACCCCGGGCGTCCCTCTTTCGCGTTGGTTATTGTTATTTGGAACTGTCGCTGTTACTATTACTTGGCCCCCCATTATCTGGGCTCTCAGGAGCTGGGGCACTGCCCATCCCTGCCTCCGAGACGATGCGAGGGGGCAGCACGGATCATAACCCCACCAAACGGGCAAAGGAGAAGAACAATCCTTTGGCAACCGAGGCGGGGGCTGTCTCCCCCCTTCCCCAGGGCAAAGCTGCCGCTCGGCAGCCGCCGCCGCCGCCGCCGTTACTATAGAGACCTTCCCCCAAACCCTGTCTGCAGAGGCACCGCCGCTGCCCGGGCCGCCGGGGCTCGCGGCACAAAGGGGGCCCCGGGGGCTGCGGGGAGCAGGGGCGACACCCGCCGGGGTCGCCCGGTGCAAACTTGGACAGGCTCAGCCGCCCGCGCCGCCGCCGCCCGCCTCCCCGCCGCGCCCGCCGGGGACCTGGACTCACCCGGGGCGCCCGGGGCGCCGGCGACTCGGGAGCGCGGCACCGACTGACGGACGCACGGTAGGCGGCGGCGGGCGGCGGGCGGCAGAGGCGCTGCCGCGGCCCCGCTACGTCACAATGCGGCCGGGCCGCCGGCGCCGCTCCCCCGGCCCCCCAACGGGCGCGCGCGGGGCGGGGGCAGCCCCGGGGCGGCCGGGCGCGGAGCCGGCGCGGGGCCGGGGGCTGGGGGACGCGGGGCGCGGCGCGGGCGCACCGCCGGGGCCGCGGGAGCCGCCGCGCGCCCCGCGCCCGCCCCCGGAGCCGCGAGTCCCGCTCCGCCTGGCTGACGGCGACCCTCCCCGGGCGGCCCACGCCGCTCCCGCGCCGCCTCCCCGCGCGCCGGCTCCGGTCCGCGAACCTGCGGTTCCCTCTCCACCTCTCGCTCCTTCCCCTCTGCCGCCGTTGCTTCTCCGCGGCTGGGCTTCTCCTCTCCTCCGCTCCTACTTTTTGCCCCCGCTTCCCTCTTTCTCCCCCGCCCCCTGCTTCCCCCCGCCCCGGCTCGGCGGCCTCTCCCCCTGGAAATGAAATCCCCGCTCACCGGGGTGCACGCGTCAGCCGCTGCCACCTCATTGGTGCCCAAACCAGTCCGGCGGTCCAGCCTGAACCAGGAGAAGGGACTCGGGGCGGGGAAACGGAAGGTGGGCACAGTCCTGGGACGCTGCCGAGCTTGAGAAGCCTTTGGCCGAGGATGCGGCGCTGGCGCGGCGTCCTCGCCCCCACTCCTCCCGCCCGCTCGCGAGGCTCGCCCCCTCCAGGACTTCGCCAAGGGGTGGATGGCAAGGGAGCTTGGCTCGGACTGTCCTTTGCTCCGGCGTGGGTGCTGGGTGGAGACTTCGGTCTGAAATAATGGCTTTTTAATTCGACAACGTTTACTGTTCCACGGGCCCTGCAGTAATATTAACTTCACTTTTACCGTCTTTTTCTTAATGGGAGGCGGGGGTGGGGGTGGGGGGGGGAGCTGGATGAGGCGTGTGAGCAAGCCGGCAGTGGTGACTGCCTCTTTCCTTCCTTATTTCCGAAACGAAATCAGGGAGAGTGGAAGCATTTATGGTAACATTGGCTCAGGACCATCTGTCTTTTGCCCTTTGGAAAGCTTTAAATGGTTTTTAAGAAATCTCTTTCCCAGGAGAGATGACTCGGAGAAGTTCACTCAGCAGAGCTATTGAGGGCCACTCTTTTGCTCCAGGGTGTGGCTGCTTGCCTGATGTTGCCCCAGAGAAAAGTGCGAGGAAGCAAGTTCTCTCTCGTCCATCCATCCTCTTTGTTCCCTTGCCAGTTCCAAGGGAGCGAGAGTGGCGCCACGATCCTGGGAAACTCAGCGCTTATCTGCGTTAATGGCACTGGGGATATGTAGCATGTGTGAGCCTGTCATTGAAAATACATCATCGATAATATATTTACTACACAGAATAAAGATAATGTGCCATATATTAATAGCATATAATGTATTGTTGCATATGTTAATAATAATATATATGTAATACATAGCAACCAGAAACGATCTGGTTGTTTAAAAACTGGAGTTCTCTGGGCGACTGGTGTAATACTGTACACAGTGCCTACAGAATCCTTGGGCCTCTGTTGGCAGGAAAGCGGCAAACTGTAGGATTAGGAGGACATGGCCGGCAATCCTGTCTGGACCTGTTTGGACACGTACAATAATTACTGAAATGAGGACTACCTTGAAGGCCTGCAGAAGACATTTCACATGCTTTTCATTTGATTTCCTATTGAGAAACAAAATTTCTCTCTCTCCGCTTTTTGACATCAACAGCCAAGATTGTGTCCTGCAGTGTTGTAATTTGTTTATTGTAATTGATCATGTATAAGACATCAAGTACATGCGTGGAAAGTGGCTTCACAATTTTAAAAACACACATTATCCCTCAGTAGAAAAATATAAAATCAGATGACATCATATGGCACTAAAAATACTTGAAAATATTGGGCTTAATTCATTCACATCTGGTTAAAATAAAAATACTGTTTTTTGTGTTTTCCTTTTTTTTTTTTTTTTTGCCTAGTATAAACTCTGAGAAAAGCACATCTTGCTTCCATCCAGTAGATATGGATGGAAATTGGTGTCATCCTTGACGTGGTCTATAGAGAGCCTAGTTCCACTGCCATCTTGTTAAGTATTTTGACATTTTTAAAATCAGATTTTGATGTAGCAAAGGAGTAATTTGTTGGAGAATAATAAATGGGCGGGCGCCTGGGTGGCTCAGTTGGTTAAGCGACTGCCTTCGGCTCAGGTCATGATCCTCGAGTCCCTGGATCGAGTCCCGCATCGGGCTCCCTGCTCGGCAGGGAGTCTGCTTCTCCCTCTGACCCTCCCCCCTCTCATGTGCTTGCTCTCTCTCATTCTCTCTCTCTCAAATAAATAAATAAAATCTTAAAAAAATAAATAAATAAATGGGCATCTTTTCCCCCACTACCCTGAACGTCTACTAGCTCTAACAGTGAGCCAGGTGTTAACTCGCTTTAAATGGTTCGAGAAGGGAACTGACTATGTCGCATGTACAGAAAATGGGTTGTCCCAGAAAAAAAAAAATTCTCTCTTGCTGTGTAGCCAAAGGAATAGCATGCCATAGTGTAAAAGAGCAATCTCTGAGATGTTGTTTCAGATAGTTTCCCCTGTTTTTTTATAGTTCTTTTCCCATGGTTTATTCTCTTTTCTAACATGTTTTTGATTACATGTTTACCATTGTTTCTGTGTGATTATTTTTACACTGTGATTTAAACCTGTGCATATATATACTTTCCTACATAGTCTATGAGTTTGCTTTTGCTTGGATCCTTTGTTGGTTTCCTTCTCCTGTGCAGTCTGTTTGTTGAATTCTAAACCCTAAATTGATATACCAAAGTGTGGAGGGAGTGAAGTAATTGGGTTGGAACAGACCTGCTAGATTTTAGATTGGATGGCAAGAAATCCAGCTTCTTCAACATCATGTTGACTTTTTATCAAGTTCATAAACTACTCTGCCTAGTCTTTTAGCTGCTTATTACCAATTACCAACCAGTCTCTGATACTCAGTTTTCCAATCAAGCAGCTGCCTCGGTAGGCTAGTTAGTACCAATGGAATGGCTTGGCGACCACAGCCACTGGACCATTTACTCCTTTTAAGAGTACTCCCCACCCATGCCTACCACTGCACAGGATGTGCACTTTTAAGAGCAGTTAGCGTATTTCTGCTTTGTGTCCATTTCTTTAAAAAAAAAAATTATTTATTTGAGAGAGAGAGCAGTGTGTGCTCACGGGGAGGGGCAGAGGGAGGCAAGCGGACTACCCCCTGAGTGGGAAGCCCCCATAGGGCTCCATCCCAGGAGCCCGTGATCAGGACCTAAGCCAAAATCAAGAGTTAGACGCTTAACCATCTGGGCCAACCAGGCGCCCATCGTGTCCATTTCTCATCCCCTACTATTCAACTGTCAGTTCCCATCAAGATGCCAGGGAGTTCGTATTACTCATATTTGGATCTTCAACACTGAGCACATTTTTATACTCAAGAGTTAGCTACTGAAAATAATTAGTACAAAAGTGCATTTCACTGTATATCATCTGCCAAAGAGCTGACATCTAATTGTTCATTCAATTATTACAATTAAACATCTGCCTCTATCCTTCTACCCAGTTTCCATAATATATCTTTATTGTGTGACAAACATTGGATAAACCTGCTATAACACTGTCAGTAATCAAGCAGAAAACCATTCTCTTTTTTCCCCCTATTCTTGAAATGTAGATTTTCTTTTATAAAACATCTCACTCTGTATTAAAGGCTCAAAGTTTTTATTCTTGTTGCACAGTTTAGGTTATTGAGGGAAGATCTGTTTGAAGTCCTTTCTGATTTCTGGTTGAGAACTATAATTTGGTTGGGGCAGACTATTTTATTCTGGAGTCACATTTGTTTCATTTGCTTGTACAAATGTATGTAAGTAATTACAAGGTATTTATATCGAGAATCAGACCATACTTCTTACATAAATGTGATTGTATCAGTCAGGGTAGGTTAGGTTACAC